GGTATTTTTTGGAACCTGGTTTATAGCTATCGACTTTCCCACTTGTATAAAAGTTGTTTATAGTTTCGTTATATTGACAAAATTGGGTGATCTACTCAAGCAGACATAAAAGTTACAATAATTTGGACCCAGCAGCCAAATCTGAGTAAAAGAGAGGAAAAAAAAAAACAAAAAAAAACAAAAAAAAACGGGACATTAAAACTCAAAACTCATAAGACAAAAAAATCTGACAATGCCATGGCAAAGAAGAAAAAGAAATAGGCGAAAAGACAAACAACAGTAAACAAAACACAACATACAAAACTAAAAAATTAGCAAAACGAACCCCACCAACAACTGGGGATGATCTCAGGTGCTCCGGAAGGGTGAAAAGATCTTGCTTCACATGTGACACCCGTCGTGCTTATGAAAGTTCAAGTCCAGTGATCAGTCTAGTTCGGTAGGCCACATAACATACATCACAGACTTTAGCCGCACTGACTTATAAATTCCAATAAACATGCACCAAAACGTTTTGTAGTTTATAGTACATACACTATATAGTATAAACGTTCTCGATAAAGTACAAATTACTCAAAACATCTCGATAAAGTACAAATTACTCAAAACATCTCGATAAAGTACAAATTACTCAAAACATCTCGATAAAGTACAAATTACTCAAAACATCTCGATAAAGTACAAATTACTCAAAACATCTCGATAAAGTACAAATTACTCAAAACAAACATACAAGAATAAACAGAATGAACAGAAGACTAAAAATCCTCTTGCATCCGAATCGACCCTCTGTATCCACCAGCAACAGGAACGAACAAAGCCAGAATCTCAATAGAATAAATAGCTGGTTTTTTTACTCATACCGATAATTGAGTTAAACCAATTGCAGCTGATTTTTACATTTTGTTCTTTTATTGTGCTGTTACAACACTGATGCAGGTTAGGATAGGGTTTAGCACTCACAAATATGCTAAACCCCGCCATATTTTGTATATGCCTGTCCCAAGTCATATTTGTTTTTTGTTTATTGTTTTGTTATGAAATAACATTAGTTTGCTTTGCTTACTCGTTTTAATTGCTTGTTTCAAATATTTTATGTCGGGGCCTTTACATAGCCGACTGTGCGATATGGGTTTTGTCATTATTGAAGGCCTAACGGTGAGCTACAATTGCTTAAATCCACTTCATTTGAACGCTGGTGGACCGTTGTCTCGTTGGCAATCATACCACATCTCCTTACTTTTAATATATTAGAAGACGATTACCCTGTCGACTAACCTTAATATAATTCGTTATGGAGTTCATGTGAGTCCTTCAGTGGTTGTTTAATAGTTAGATTTGTCCCTTACCAATCCATGTACGAGATTAAAACATCGGTTCAATAAAAGAGAGGGGAAAAATACCAAAGAGACATTCAAACTCATGTCGAAAATAAACTGACATCGTCATGGCAAAAAAAAAGAAACAATTCATAAAAGACACAGACAACACAAGGTTATGTTTTTTCTCTGACTGTTAATGACGTCTTTACACTAAATCCATTGGATGTTGGATGTGTACTGATTGATATTTTAGTCTTAGATAAATGATTTTTTTATAAGTTGTTATTGGCTTTGAACTAGCTGTCAGTAACTACGAGTACTCTCAGATTTGTTAGTAGTGTCCTTTTTGTTGTTCGGGATGAGGAATGGATAAATACCCTACCACGTCCGGTCTGCTTTGTATCGATCTGATGAGTTAAGCCTTTTTCAACTGATTTTTATAGTTTGTTCTTATGTTGTGATGTAACACCGCTGTCTCAGGTTAGACGGAGGGTAGAGCGCTCACAAACATGTTTAACCCCGCCACATTCTTTATTTGCCTGTCCACAGTCAGGGGACTGTTTTTCAGTGATTGTTGTTGGTTCATGTCTGTCATATTTGTTTTTTGTTAATTGTTTTGTTATAAATCAGGCCGTTAGTTTTCTCAATTGAATTGTTTCATAGTTTTCATGTCGGGGGCCTTATATAGCCGACTATATACGATATGGGTTTTTCGCATTGTTGAAGGTCATACGGTTGCCTATAGTTGCTTACATCAACTTAGACTTTGGTGGATAGCTGTCTCATTGGCAATCAAACTTCATCTCCTAATTCTTATAACAGTATACAAAACACAACAAGTAACTACTGTCGACTTGAATTAGTTCTATATTGTGCTTTGTCATTGAGACAGTCCCGAATTCCCGCCCTTAATCCCTGGCCTTCTATCTTGCAAAACCTATTTTTTGTAATATATTGTATCTATAAATATTTATATATATCTTTATTTCTCAATAAACCATTTACATTGGAATGGTACAGAGAACACATAATATTAATCACAAATCAACAAATCAACATTAATGAGAGAGATGTCAGCCCGGATCACACAGCCCTTTATTAACAATTTTAATAAATTTGCAGAGTTTCGAAAGTATCGATCTTCTATTTCAAGTTAATTCGTGCTCGTCTTAAATATGACTGAAATATTTGTCATTAGACGCCAAGAAAGTAACGACCAATCCATGAATCAATCCCTTGCCATTGAATGTTGTTTCGTCGTAAATGCTGTTAACAACTCCATGATTTGAGTGAAGTGCAGCTTTCTCGTCCTTTTCTGTAATATTTTATGTTACACGAGTTTTATTGTCTTTTACGTTGTCTGGTCAGTCTAGTTTAAAGTCATAGGCAGTTCATTTGATTTTTATAATGCTAGCTCAGTGTTGTCCTTTCCCTTGTACCGTTTGCTTTTGTTTGTCTATTCAGACATGTTCGAAGTCATGCGCCGTTTGATATCTATATTGATAACAGGGCCATCATTGCATATGTCAAACACTGTTATCCTGTCTTTTATAAATTTTATAAGCTCAGTCATTTTTGAATAATGATCTGTTTTTGTTTTGTCTGTTGTTTTAGTAGTTCAGTCAGAATATAAGTTATAGGCATTATTTTACATCTAATAGTTTCGAAACCAATAACCGTCATTTCGTTATTAATGGTGTCAATTAAGTCATATCCTCAGAATTGCGCTGTTCGTTTGTCTTTTGTGTTGTCAGTTCAATAATGTGCTATGTTATGTGCAGTTTCCTAGCTTTAATGTTGCTATGTTCTGGGTCATATACTTATTTTGTTTTTATATTGTCAGCTCTGTCTTGTTCGTAGTCATGTGAAGTTTTATTGTCCCTAATATTTTCAGTTTAGTCATACATGTATTATGATTCTTAACTTTGAAGTATTTGTAGATCTTCTCTTGCTGATCATTTTTGGTATTACAGTGTCAATAGCCATGTTTCATGTCAAGTGCCAATATCATCTTGTAAGCTGTCAAAGGTACGTCTTTAGTGGTGTTCAGATTCCAATTAAACTTATATATGAATCCTCACTTGCCAATCATATTTGTAATTAAAGTGTCTACCTTAAAAGTTTCTTTTATAGTTTTTTGACAATAATAGGCAAAACCGGCAAAAAAAAATTATAAAAAAATAGCCCATGTATGGTAAATAGTATTTGCCGATTTATGACCAAAACGATGATTATATCTGATAACAAAAACAAATCTACCACGCACCTGCCTGAATCACAAAATACATCATAATTTCAAAACGAAAACCGGATGGAAATCAATATACGGACAGATAGTTTCAAATAAAAAAACATTGTAAATTTTTTGTGTTTATAAAAATAAACACAGTTATGTACGGTATGCATAAGTATTTACATAGGTATTTTCAAAGTAGTATGTTTAACATTTATATGACTGTAAGATAGAAGATAATTTCATTTTCTTCGTTTTTTTTGGTAGATTGTTTCAAAGGTAGTTGTAATTTGCAATAAATGAATAATAGGTAAATGTGTGAAAAATACTTTTTTGACGAATGCAACCTGCACACCCGTCTTTAAAAGTACTGGGTTCATTGTATTTTGTTTGACATGGCTGGTCAAAGCACAGAGAAAAACATGTTAAATTGGTATGAATTACAAAGGAGAAACACTCGATTGAACTAAACAAAAGATCGTAGTTTTCATGATGGTATATATATCTAGACATGAAAAACTGTATTTAATATTGAGATATATGAATATAAAAAAAAAAAAAAAAAAAAAAAAAAAAATATATATATACTTCGGCACTGACATGATTTATAACGAATTGTCCGTTTATAAATTTGTAAAATTATAAAGAAACTAAGGTTTAAACTCCCTCTGGCAAAGTTGGCATTAAATGGATTTAGCTAATGGTTTGAGGTCCGTTAAAGTTATATAGCCCTTCAACTGATTTGGTTTTCAAATATTCGGCTTTAAGCGTTCCTGATGAAGGTAAATCAAGAAAAGCGCCTTGGACGGATGAAATTTATAACGTGTTGTTTTCATTTTTTAACAGCAAACGAAATCAAACCGACAGTAGGCAGAACACAAATAATCAGAATAAGAAGTGCCATGATAGTTTAATAAGAGTTATTATCGGCAATTTGTACATTTTCCCTTTGATCTTACTGCCTAATATTATCAAGATCATGGACAGGACTTGATACTCGAAAATATTAGGCAATGACTTCATGTATAAGTGCAGCGACGTCGCGTGATCAAGTCCATCCGCGTGTATTTATCATTGAAATGCACGCGACGTCATTCATACAACTGAACAACTATCCGAACATTTTGTACGCGTAAAAGTAGTTTTACTTACCATTTCATTCTACTTCATATTCTCAACAAAAAAACCTACAGTTTTGACAAATTGCCGATAAAAAGAATGATGGCATTTTATTTTGTGATACTGACATCATCAGCTCGAATATCAGCTCGCCCTTGCGGGCTTGCTTGATATTCTTACTGATAAAGTCAGTATCAAAAACAAAAATGCCATTATTCTATATATAGTTGCCAACATTGAAGTCGATATCTATATCTTTCATGCAGGAGGAATAATCGGAAAACCAATATTCAGATTTTGGATTCTATCTGCGTTGTAACGTCGTATAGTATATACAAAATTTTAATGGTTCAAAAGATACTGATAGAAACAGTTACACCATGTGGACTTTTTTGCAATGTGTCCAAGAATTAATATAAACATAAAATTCATAACGATTTGGTGTGATGACAAATGTGTCAACATGTCAGCTTAGTTTTCAACTGAAAAAAAAAAAAAAAAATAATAATGGAATGACAAAAATTGTTCTGAAAAAGTATACACTCAAGAATAATTATGAATGTTAATCCTTATTTACAGACAATCTGATCATTATTTATTACCACAGTATAATTGATAAGTATAAGAAAGGGACATTTGGTAACCGTATGAGAAACTATAATCGAACGAAAATGTATCAATGATAAGAACAAAGTACAAGACTTTTACATTTTTTTGGTTCTACCTATGAAAGCAAGAAATGTAATCAATTATATCTCTCACATAATTGTGTAAGCCAAAAATGCGTTTGGCCTTATAACAGAAAAAAAGATATGTGCTATCCATCCATGACGCAAAAATAGTACATGCACAGCAAAGAACACACAAAAAGCAAAGGAACAGCGCTTTTATTGCTGTTCTTCATTTTAAAGCTACAGTGAGACTCATTAGTCTTGCTAAGATAAAACAAAAAATATTTGAAGGCTAAACCAGATAGGACGTTAAAGTGTATTGAAAACCAAAAATTACAAGTATCGGAAACTATGATGAATGCCATCAATTCCTTGTGTTGAAAAAACCTCAGTATTTCGAATGATTTAAACGTTTTATGAACAGTGAATTTACAAAATGGCGTTGAAAAGTAGTAGCATCGACGCAGTTGTTGTGAAAACTCTTTATGCTTTCAATTTTGTTCGCCAGACGCGAGTTTCGTCTACAAAAGTTTCATCAGTGGCAAAGTATTCAAAGACTGACTGTTTTATATTTAGACCAAAGAGTATTTGAATTTAAATGTGTAGTGTTATTTGTGTAAACTTGACTGTCATCTTGAACTCCATACTGGTCACCAAGGCCGTATGAGGATAACATTTTCATCAGACAGTCCCTACTGCTTTTCATATCTTTTGTCATTATATACATTTTGGAGTTAATAGCAGATCTGTGGTAGTCACTGCCAACTGTATTTACTCTTTTAAGCCTTGGCAATGTCAATATCTAACAGGCATTTAACCGGGAACACAATTTAAATAACAAAAGATTTCATAATTGGTTGTCTCTTAAATAACTGTTATATATATTTTTATAATTGTATCTTAAAAGGATAAAATTATATGAAAATGTAAGATTTCAAAGTGTAAAGAATCATGGGAAGAATACAGTTACTTATTATAAACAGATGCTGTTTTTTTTTATATAGCGTCTGCGCAATGCTAGGCGGTGTTGTCGTAGAAGTATTAAGTGAAAAGTACAGGTTCCAGCCTCAGTCGGGGAGGAAGTAAAGAGTCAAATCTACTCTAACATTGTTAGGTTGATTTTCTAGGCACTTTATAAATATTCTAAAGCCTGGTATTTCTTAATCATAAGGAATCAGATGGACAAGGTATAATTTACAGTTGTCACTACACATAGGCAGACTTAAATATATATTATATAGAGTTTTTCTTTTTTTCACCCATTTGTATTTTCCCTGGCAAATGGGATATGTTAAATAAAAGCAGGGATCCCTCTGTCAGCTGCCATGGACTGCTTAGGGTTTATGTATTCCAGGTGATTTAAAATAATAGATATTACTCACAAAAAAAGACAACTCGGACCACTTTTTAAAGATAACTCGGACCAGTTTGAAATACAATTTTGGACAACTGATGAGGGTCTTGAAGTGGTTTACAGAATATTGAATAAGGACAAAAAGAGTAGAATAAAGGAAAAAATTAAGAAAAGAGAAAAATAGGCAAAAAAAAAAAGGATTGTCAGAATATGGGTGTTAGGATATAAGGAATAGAGAATAATGGGATAAATTGATAAAAGAAAAGACGGGAAAATGCTATGAAAATAAAGAAAAAAGAAACAAATATAAAACCGTTGTAATAAGTAGTCCGAATTGTGTTTCAAACTGGTCCGAGTTATATCTTTAAGTTGGTCCTAGTTGTCTTTAAAAGTGGTCCGATTTGTTTTTAAATTAGCCCGACTTGTCATGAATTCGCTTGCAGCATATAAGGAAAATGTAATAAGCTTATTTTAAAAGTGTTTGTATAGTTGAACACCGTTTTCCTCATCTTCCTAAAAAAATTAAGTTTAAACGCATTGATCAAGTATCTTGGGACGAATTGGTTTGTACAAATCGAAGTTGGAACGAATCATCCAGATACCGTTTTAGAGTTAACTTTATTATTTGTGGTATATAACATATACTGACGGACTTTAAAACGCAATTCTAGATTATTCTTTTTTTAATTCTCATTTTCAAATATGAAATGTTTGTTAAACAAATGTCTAAACACATAAACCCCCCCCCCCCCCCCCCCCCCCCAAAAAAAAAATAACAAAAAAACTTTGATATATTTTATAAAACCCTTTCTTTTGTCAACGAATATCCGTTGACCTCATCAACCTTGAAAAGGCCTCAAGGTCAAATGTTTATGCTGACCTTGACCATTGATCTGACACTTTGTTATGGGTTGATCTCAGAATCCATTATACTTACAGTAGTCTTGAATAGTAGAAAATGTTTGGGTCATTAAGGCGCAATTTTGTTACATTTTGACTGAAGAGATTTGACCTTTCTATAAGGGCATAACCCCCGTTAACGGTTTCTGGAAAGACAAAATTAGGTTTTACTTTCAAATCAAAGTCCCTAGACCCATGGGGTCTTTTGCAATGACATTGAGGACGATGACTTTGACAAAATTCACAAGGTCAAAGGTCAAGGTCATGTCCCAAATAGCGAATTACCTGTTTTAGGCCTTATTTAAAGGATAAAAAGTGTATTTTAAAGCTTTTAAAGGTTGACCTTGAACTTCGACCTTACAACTTTTTATGGGATGTCTCAAAAACCATTATACTTGCAGAAATCGTAAATAGTAAAAATGTTTGGACCATAAAGGCGTAATTTTTTTTTATATTTGACCGAAGAGATTTGACCTATCCGTAAGGGCATAACCCCCGTTAACGGTTCCTGAAAAGACAAAGTTAGCTTTAACTTTTGAACCGAAGGTCCTAGATACATGGGGTCTAGTGTAATGACATCGATGACCAATGACCTTGACAAAGGTCATAAGGCCAAAAGTGAAGGTCATGTCCAAAATTGCGAATTATGTGTTTTGACCATATTTTAAGGATTTTATGTTTTTTGTAGACCTTTTCAATGCATTCTACGCCTTTTTAAACATATATTTCACATTACGAAAAGGAAAGACCTCTCAATTGTTCGTGAACAATTGACATTTTAATATTTTGAGCTCTTTTCTTTTGCTATTGCAATTATTTTCTTTTTGATTTTGGATCAAACACCAACGGTATCACTAGTGTATCTTATACGTAAAAGGAAAATGGTCTTTACCTGCGTTTATTTAGTTTCACAAAAAAAAAAGAAAAAAACAAACCGGTAAACATATTGAACTTTAAACTTAATATCTCCTTACAATACCAAGATGTTACTCTTATAGAACCACACTTAAACCGTTAATTATAAACACTCTTCCAGTTTGCAGTACATAAACCTTTTGGCATAAAACATTTCCATAACTTAGTATGTTTATACTTACAATCAAGAAGACGTTTGGCGTGTCTACCCAAGATGAATCTTTTTGGCACTGAAAAAAAATCAAAAAAAAAAATCAAAAAAATCATAACAAAAGATATGCCAAAGATTTAAAAAAGATGCGGGGATATCAAAGGGACAATAAGAACTCATAAGTCTTGGAGGATCGAACAAACAATGACAAGAAAAACTAAAAAAGACGATAAGACACTAAAAATGTTTACGAAAATTCACAGCAAACTATAGACAGAGCAATACGAACTCCTCCAGAAATCTAATACAAAATTATGTGTTCGTAGTATTCAGCCAACATTTATATTTTTTTTTATTATCATTCATTTATTTATTTAGAAAATAATGTCTGATTTTTCATAGACATTATTTAAAATGTGTCAGGTAAGATACCATCTTATCTTAAAAAAAAAAGCGAAAAATAAAAAAGCAAAGAACTTTCAAGAATAACTGTCCAACTGTATTTACTCTTTTAAGCCTTGGCTATGTCAATATCTAACAGGCATTTAACCGGGAACACAATTTAAATAACAAAAGATTTCATAATTGGTTGTTTCTTATTTACACGAGATCGGATTGAACTTTAAACAGTGCAAATGGTTAGAAAGAAAACAATATAAATAACTGTTTATATATATTTTCATAATTGTATCTTAAAAGGATAAAATTATATGAAAATGTAAGATTTCAAAGTGTAAAGAATCATGGGAAGAATACAGTTACTTATTATAAACAGATGCTGTTTTTTTTATATAGCGTCTGCGCAATGCTAGGCGGTGTTGTCGTAGAAGTATTAAGTGAAAAGTACAGGTTCCAGCCTCAGCCGGGGAGGAAGTAAAGAGTCAAATCTACTCTAACATTGTTAGGTTGATTTTCTAGGCACTTTATAAATATTCTAAAGCCTGGTATTTCTTAATCATAAGAAATCAGATGGACAAGGTATAATTTACAGTTGTCACTACACATAGGCAGACTTAAATATATATTATATAGAGTTTTTTTTTCACCCATTTGTATTTTCCCTGGCAAATGGGATATGTTAAATGAAAGCAGGGATCCCTCTGTCAGCTGCCATGGACTGCTTAGGGTTTATGTATTCCAGGTGATTTAAAATAATAGATATTACTCACAAAAAAAGACAACTCGGACCACTTTTTAAAGACAACTCGGACCAGTTTGAAAAACAATTTTGGACAACTGATGAGGGTCTTGAAGTGGTTTACAGAATATTGAATAAGGACAAAAAATGTAGAATAAAGGAAAAAATAAAGAACAGAGAAAAATAGGCAAAAAAAAGGATTGTCAGAATATGGGTGTTAGGATATAAGGAATAGAGAATAATGGGATAAATTGATAAAAGAAAAGACGGGAAAATGCTATAAAAATAAAGAAAAAAGAAACAAATATAAAACCGTTGTAATAAGTAGTCCGAATTGAGTTTCAAACTGGTCCGAGTTATATCTTTAAGTTGGTCCTAGTTGTCTTCAAAAGTGGTCCGATTTGTTTTTAAATTAGCCCGACTTGTCATGAATTCGCTTGCAGCATATAAGGAAAATGTAATAAGCTTATTTTAAAAGTGTTTGTATAGTTGAACACCGTTTGCCTCATCTTCCTAAAAAAATTAAGTTTAAACGCATTGATTAAGTATCTTGGGACGAATTGGTTTGTACAAATCGAAGTTGGAACGAATCATCCAGATACCGTTTTAGAGTTAACTTTATTATTTGTGGTATATAACATATACTGACGGACTTTAAAACGCAATTCTAGATTATTCTTTTTTTAATTCTCATTTTCAAATATGAAATGTTTGTTAAACAAATGTCTAAACACATAAAAAAAAACCCAAAAAAAACCAAAAAAAAAACAAAAAAAACCTTGATATATTTTATAAAACCCTTTCTTTTGTCAACGAATATCCGTTAACCTCATCAACCTTGAAAAGGCCTCAAGGTCAAATGTTTATGCTGACCTTGACCTTTGACCTGACACTTTGTTATGGGTTGATCTCAGAATCCATTATACTTACAGTAGTCTTGAATAGTAGAAAATGTTTGGGTCATTAAGGCGCAATTTTGTTACATTTTGAATGAAGAGATTTGACCTTTCTATAAGGGCATAACCCCCGTTAACGGTTTCTGGAAAGACAAAATTAGGTTTTACTTTCAAATCAAAGTCCCTAGACCCATGGGGTCTTTTGCAATGACATTGAGGACGATGACTTTGACAAAATTCACAAGGTCAAAGGTCAAGGTCATGTCCCAAATAGCGAATTACGTGTTTTAGGCCTTATTTAAAGGATAAAAAGTGTATTTTAAAGCTTTTAAAGGTTGACCTTGAACTTCGACCTTACAACTTTTTATGGGATGTCTCAAAAACCATTATACTTGCAGAAATCGTAAATAGTAAAAATGTTTGGACCATAAAGGCGTAATTTTTTTTTACATTTGACCGAAGAGATTTGACCTATCCGTAAGGGCATAACCCCCGTTAACGGTTCCTGAAAAGACAAAGTTAGCTTTAACTCTTGAACCAAAGGTCCTAGACACATGGGGTCTTTTGTAATGACATCGATGACCAATGACCTTGACAAAGGTCATAAGGCCAAAAGTGAAGGTCATGTCCAAAATTGCGAATTATGTGTTTTGACCATATTTTAAGGATTTTATGTTTTTTGTAGACCTTTTCAATGCATTCTACGCCTTTTTGAACATATATTTCACATTACGAAAAGGAAAGACCTCTCAATTGTTCGTGAACAATTGACATTTTAATATTTTGAACTCTTTTTTTTTGCTATTGCAATTATTTTCTTTTTGATTTTGGATCAACCACCAACGGTATCACTAGTGTATCTTATACGTAAAAGTAAAATGGTCTTTTCCTGCGTTTATTTAGTCTCACAAAGAAAAAGAAAAAAACAAACCGGTAAACATATTGAACTTTAAACTTAATATCTCCTTACAATACCAAGATGTTACTCTTATAGAACCACACTTAAACCTTTAATTATAAACACTCTTCCAGTTCGCAGTAAATAAACCTTTTGACATAAAACATTTCCATAACTTAGTATGTTGATACTTACGATCAAGAAGACGTTTGGCGTGTCTACCCAAGATGAATCTTTTTGGCACTGAAAAAAAATCAAAAAAAAAAAAAAAATCATAACAATAGATATGCCAAAGACTTAAAAAAGATGCGGGGATATCAAAGGGACAATTAGAATTTATAAGTCTTGGAGGATCGAAAAAACAATGACAAGAAAAACTAAAAAAGACGATAAGACACTAAAAATGTTTACGAAAATTCACAGCAAACTATAGACAGAGCAATACGAACTCCTCCAGAAATCTAATACAAAATAATGTGTTCGTAGTATTCAGCCAACATTTATATTTTTTTTTATTATCATTCATTTATTTATTTAGAAAATAATATCTGATTTTTCATAGACATTATCTAAAATGTGTTAGGTAAGATACCAACTTATCTAAAAAAAAAAAAGGAAAAAAAAAAAAGCAAAGAACTTTCGAGAATAACTGTCCAGAAAAAAAAAAAGATTTATGATTTCTTGTAATCGCTGAAAAAAATCTAGCAAATGGCTGGGACGAACGCAGTTATTCTGAGAAATGCAATTGACACCACGATTTTGTGTCTACCCAAATCAGTAACTAATATTTCAGATTCAAAGTTGGTAATTTTCTTTTGTATTTAAATCACAAGAAACTGAAAAAGTATTCAATAACCATTAAATTAAATGATGAGTAAACGTTTTAGTGATTGCACAATTATCAATCTTAAAGGAAGATTAACAATTACATTCATTTACTTTTCTACAGAGACTATGCCTGTTTGTGGATAGGCATATCTTTCCTCCACTGTAATTTGACAAGTATGCAACATTATAGTTTGACGCTATTACCAACGTGTTTATGATTTCGACTAGTAATAACAAGACACAAACATGTTAAGTAACTGACTGTCATTGATAAAAAAAACCAATTTAAAAGCACTGTATGCACCGTTGAAATAATGTGTAAGGATTTTGACAATTGTCTACTACAAGTGAGTAGTTAATTCTACAGAGACCGTGTCTGTTAGTGGATACCCACTTCTCTAGCCAACTGCCGTATGACAACACAAAGATATAATACACAGATACGTTACTCGTCATTTCATGTTTTCTGCTCAGATTAGTATTACTAGAAATATTCGATGTTGGAATCAAGTCATAGGTAAAATATTCAAAGCAGATAGAGATGCCTACCCAGTTCTCGTTTGTTTCACTTTATAAACTTGAAAGATTCATTAGTCCAGCTGATTCTTGCATGTTTTAAGAAGAATTATGGATTTGATGATTAAAGCATGAAACTCTGCCCAGTTGCAGATATATGTTTTGTAGTCAATTTAAGCTATGGAACCACTCTAAAAAACAATATGGCGACCATTTTCAAGATGTCTTCCAATCAGTTAAAAATCAGTATAAATTAAAGCAAATGATATTTAAACCAAATCTTTTATAAACATATAAATTGTAATCCAACGTTTCTTGTAAGTTATGACGTTATATCAGACTTTTGATTATTTTCTAAAATGGCAAAAAATTTTAAAATCGCCGCCAAAAAGTGAAAATGAACAAAATTGAGACAAGGCTTTGCAGATATTTATTTCTTCTATCTAGGATATATGGATGCTGCTTGGAAGACAATTTAATCAAAGGTCCCGAAAAAAGGAATCATTCGAACGATTTTAGGACGCCATCAGGATTTGTTTGACCGTTAAGTGCCGTCTGAGTCACAAATGATTATGGATATGTTTTGCTTGTGTATCCATCGTACAGACATAGAAAAACTTATTTGATTTCAAACGTTCGTATTTGGTAAATTTTCAGATAATTTACACGTACCAATAGTTTTTAAATGTTTTAAATTTTGTGATTCTAAGGGTTGGAAAAGAGACATTTATAAATCCACTATTGTATGATACATGCCTAATAACTGGATATGAATCATCAATTCTATTTTAACAAGAGCACCTAGGCGGTAGTCACTTGTTGAACACTAAACTGCTGACCCTTCTTGAGAACATAAGACCATCCCGGTTTTAAGTGGGATTCTTGCTGCTCAATTGTTAGATGTATGTGTAGTGATCTCTTGTCTGCTGTTAGTCTTTTTTGCGTTTCTTTTTCATGGTGTTACCTGGTTTTGTTTTACTAATGAGTTTTGAGTGCCAAAGTATTTTGGTCATCTTTTTTATTATCTAAAAACCTGCATATTTTTACATCAGCAGTTTTTAAAATATTTCTTAATGACATTCCAATAAGTCTTTGCAACACTCCCCACCACATTTTGAATAGAGCCATACATAACAAAATTGCCCTCGCGCATTTGCATCTACCGCGACATCCGTTTACTATCTTTCAACCACATTTCATCAATGTTCATTAGCTCATTACTATTAAAATACTTTGGACAAGACACCATATTTAAATGCTATAGTTGTGCGATATTAATGGTCAACCTGATTGCTCCACCGACTCCTTTTACAAGTGCATAATTCTTCTCATTGGCTTGATCTACATTTATCATTTTCAAATTACTTGAACTGCATAGCATGTACAGTTAAATGATATCAGACCGCCTCACTAGTTCTCTAAGCCATGATTTGGATGGTAAAATGCAAAGAACCAATGTATTAATGTATTAGCAGTGTAATTATTTCTTGATACACCCAGAAGGAACATATTTTATAATATCACATCAACATGACCAATTCCATCATTAATGTAACAAACAAGGTTTGGTTAAGTGGACTCAATTTCCCTATTATTACTCCATTCTTTGAATGTTACATAATTCTCACCAGGGTCTCGTTCTTCAATAAAAAATATGTCTGGATCTTTGCTTAAGAATGAGAAGTACACCTATGTCAACCTCATGGAAATGACTCATGTCTTGCTCAAGTTCACGATGCACGAGAGCCTCTAAAAAGAATCTTAGAGTACTATGTTCGCACTGTTTTCTAATCAAACACTTAAGTTCCTAAACGATGCCATTTCTATATGAAGACATAAAACAAAACTACTCTTTGTTCTGTTAAAAATATGTTTACCAAATTTCACTGTTACGATTTTACAAAAGCAAAAAACGATTGATCACAAGTTATAGTTGATACATGTCTAGGAAAAAAATTAAACCACTGCTGGATTGTATTCATGGAATATCGAATCGTTGTGACAGATTTGATATATTCCTGAAACATTTGTCAATACGGATTGATATATAAATGTGGATGACCATTAAGTTTTGCTCTACTATTTTTGTGGTCAATATTGTCAACGACTGCTATTGTAAAACCACTATGTTTCGCGGGAGAAACCACATATTCCATGTTTCATGGATGGATTTTTCTAGTACTGTAGATAAATGGACATCCACCCAGTAGAAAGCCTATTTACATTAAGAGATGGATTTTTAGTTAAATGTAATGTTAAAGAAGAATAGAAAAAAAGCAGCAGTTACTTCGAAATTGTTAACGTCGTATTTGCCGAAAAAGAATAACTCGACTGCAATTGAATATTTGGGCAAGAAATTATAAAATAATGTTTTTAATGACTATGGAAAAGACTTTAGCCTAAATTATGTCTTTTGCAGGAATAAATATTTTTAGATCATTACTATGTCCTCTACCAGTTGATTATAAAGAATATAAATATTTGAATCGAGAGAGTGACAATATACAAGTGTCGTTCTGCTTTCAAGTAAGTATACCATCTTTTATAAGACGAAAATTAGAGATTATTATTTTCTAATGATTAATGAACTGGGTCTGGTATATTAATATTGTTTAAGTTATGACATAGTATTAGCCATAAGTGTAGGTAAATAAATGTGTTTATATATCACAGGCATTAACAATATGGGTCGATACGACTTTCATAACATGAAAGCAATGAGCTATCTGGTATTATACACAGAACGCATTGACTACTCTTCGGCTTACATTTCTTTCTTGTGTTTAAGATCTGACATTCTCATGTTGTTTCTTTAGTTGCATGCATAAGAGATTTTGAAAATTAAGAAAAAAAAATAATATTATGTATGAATCGAGAATCTCATTACGATACCACGATCCCATTAGCCTTTTGCAAATGAATGAAATATTATGTTATCCTATGTTGCATGAAGTATAACTGGAAATATCCGATATTGGCATCCATTGAGAAGTTTAATACCCAAAGCAGATAAAAGACATCGAAGTTATCTACCAAGTCAAGTTTTCGTTTATCTGAATTGACGCATTCATAATTGTTTTCAGATTTATGTTTGAACTATTTATAACTGGTACTATGAAATGACATGCTAACTAATGATAGGTCTTTATATAAAAAAATCCAATGTAAAGAAGAAAGCCAAATGTCTTCATTCAACATATTAAACCTGAATATTTGAATCGAAAAAGTGAAAATTTACAATTGTTTTTCATTTAATCCTTTTATAACGTATATGTGTGCTTTAAAGTAAAGGCACCATCTATTATAAGACAACCTTAGAATATTATTGTTTTCGTATGACCAAAAAACAGTCATGTTTTGGAATTTTTGACAGATTTTCAGAATCCTCTGGTTTTATCCATTTGAATGCCTAAAAACAATTTTGCCCACTAACCCCCATTTTTCTTTTTATAAATCTCATGCATGTATAAATATGAGGCATCTGTAAAAGTCTTATAAAATCTTTGTTTTTTCTTAATAGTTTTTGAGAACTTAAACTTGTCAATGATAAAGCTATGAAAAAAAAAGAGTGAACATTTTCCAGCCAAAATTTAAATGGCTAATATCTCAAAAACAAGCACACGGACCTATATTTTTTTCGCTCTTTTGGTTCCTTTATTAGACTCCTATCAATATATTCTAGTGTTATAAAAAGCTTGTTATTTTGAAACTGAGTAGCGAACTTTCTTAACCACCAATATCCGGCTTTGATTTGTTAACTATGTTGATAAAAAGGTCCAAGGCCAGTGTAAGCAAACCCTAATTATCGAAAAATAAAGCAAGGTTATACTGAAAATGAATTTTAGAAAAATTTCACAATTATTACCTACTAAGGAAGATCAGGATTTAAATTTTTAACAAATCTATAACAAATAACTACAAACAAAAATTAAATAAAACTTACATTCGTGCACTTTTTCTGCAGAAACCGTGCCTGTTTGTGGGTAAATATACCTTTCATTTACTATAATAAAACAATAAACGATTACAAATACACTTTTGTATCATCGATTATATCATGTAACAAAGTTTATTCTTGCAACAGGATACAACATAAAAGATAATTTTGAGGGGTTTGGCATGTAAAGCAGGTTATATATACTTTATGGAGAGATTGTGTTTTCTCAGTTAGGAGTTGGTTCATTTGCCAATGTTCATAGTTGACTATTGATACGTAACTGAACATAAGTTCGCATTATCTAAAAATATATGTATATATATCTATATAATGAACTATTATACGTCAAAAAAGCGTACCAAAAACAAAACCATAATATAAATTAGATAAATACATAATTGTTAAATATATTGGATAACTGATATCCTACATCAGTGTGCAGTAAAATGAAGTCTTATTAAACTTTTTTGATTTCTGAAACAATTTTGAACGTCATACAAATTCAAAACTTACAAGGCTCATAGAAAATGTATTTGTGTAATTCTAGTTCATGTAATTAAGTATTTAAAATAGGCAAGGCTTCGTATTTTTATATCCCATATGACACATATCCAGCTTCTGTGGTTAGCACTGAACTGTTTGAACTTCATCCTTTTTCGCGGAAAAACTTTCTTCTACCCAGACACAGATGTATTATGATTAATTTGTTAAATGTCAGGCGATGGTGACCTGTTTTAGTGTTGTCAGGGGATCTAAAATTCGACTTTGAAGACGGTCTTGCTTTTTGGTTATAGAGATTACGATAGCCGTAAAAACGTTTGTGAAATGGCTGTCTTGACTCATCAGCATACTGTTGACCACATTTACTCTGTAGTAGTTATATAGAAAAAAAAGAAAAAAAAAGAAACAAAAAAAACAAAACAACATAATATATAATTTTGCATGTTTTTATCTAAAGTTTGCAATCTTGTTAATTAATACCTTTACCATGTTTATCTTGTGTAACATATTGATTTGTTTCTATAAGTAACATCACTGATAAAACAAATATTTTTGTTTCTAGTACTGTAAATGCAGAAACGTTTGCGAGAATTACAAACAGTAAAAGGTTCGCAAAAAAAAAAAAAAAAAAATCGAATTTCAGATGTTATATTATCATCTCGCAATTGTGTCCATCCTTTCAAAAAACAATCAAAAATGTACAGCATTTTTGTTAAAATTTACAGCATAAAGAACTATGCGTGCATTCTGAAAATTATCTAATAACTTTTATATTAAATGATGAGTCGATGTTTTAGAAATAGCACACTTATCAATTTTAAAGGAAGATTAACAATTACATTCATTAACTTTTTCTACAGAGACTGTGCGTGTTTGTGGATAGGCATATCTGTCCTCCAATGTAATTTGACAAAAAAGCAACAATATACTTTGACGCTAATACCAATGTGATTATGATTTTGACCAAGAAGTTATTCTATAAAATCACAAAGCTTTTAAGGACCAGGTGAGATAACAGAAAAGAACTTTGAACCACATTGGAAGGATTTGTAGTACATGTAGGTAATTTCGCAGATAACACAATGATTTTTCCCCAACTAGGAATAAGCTTTGGAATGGCTAATTGCTAGTTGTTAAATATATTTGGAATTTCCATTAATGCTAGGGCATATCTGCCAAAGGCTATATAGGATTAGGGAGAAAAATCACCTAATTATTTCGAATGATTTTAAAGTTGAATGAATACTAAGTACATAAGAACAACAAATACCCCTGATAGCTCAACACATGAGTGATTAATTAGTCTTGCAACAGGAACATACTGAATATTTCGTCTTTGAAAATCTTCCTGTCTAATCCATTCTCCCGGATATATATCGGTCATCCCTTAACAACTATTGTTCATGTCGTTTCGTTAGGAAAATATTCGCGTTTTCAAAGGAATTTCAATAAGACCATTTAGTCCCTCTGGATTATACATGTGTACAATCAAGTCAGTGAACTTTGATCGTCAAATACACACAAACCGAATTTTCCTTATTCGAATCTTAAAATATATTTGAGAGAAAGAACTACATCATGTACATGTTAGAATAAATTTCAGTATATGAGAATATAAGAATGTCTGCTAAAAACTATGGTGACAAAACTGACCGTGACTTTTATATAGGCTGTACAATTTAGTTCATATAGCTCTGAAAAAAAACATGTATGGTTGCTGGTTATTTTACAAAAATATAGTAATCGCTTATTCCTTATGACATGACCTTGGCAATTGACCCTTAACCTTGGTGCCAAATAGTTGCGTCAGTCGTCCTGAATATTTTCCTCATTATATATATATATATATATATATATATAGATTGCCTAACAATGTAATTTTAACACACTATTTAGTATGTAAATATAAGAATGTTTAAAATATTTACAAAATGATGAAAATAAACGCAATATTTCGCTAGACTAACTAGCTTTATCAAGCGTGCATCTATCCAGGTGAAATCGGATGTAGATGATAAGAAACTTTTGCAGCTCAATGTATATGTTGCACTTGAATTTAGCTGCCTTGAAAATAATACATAATTTGGATGAAGTTCAAGATTTTTACAAAATTGGTAGTTGAAGTTAGCAACGTCCATTGGCCAATATTACAGGATAAAAAGGACGATGATGTGTACTAAATTATTCTTTATCTTTCCTGTATCTTTTCTCATCTTTTTCGTTAAGACCATCAGGTTCTAAAGTGTGGAGTTGGTGGATCCAAAAATTTTCTCTTCTCCTTCTCGCCGTGGTGTCCCACTCGGTGTTGACTTCTATGATTTGGAAGGTAACATTATCAAAAGAATGTTTCGTTGAACGAAGATGTCTTGTGAGAGGACAGTTTTTGTTGGTTTTGTACCATGAACGATGGTTATTGAGCCGAATATTAAATTTGTCCATTGTTTCTCCCACATACTGAATGCCACATGTGTCACATGTTAATATATAAATTGAGTTCTCCGTTTTACAGTTGGAATTTGAGTAGATGGTATAATTTTGTTTAGTAACGGAGCTGATGAAAGAACTGCTTGTATTGGCAGTTTTGCAACACAAGCAGTTCCTTCGACCACATTGTTTGTAGCAACCGGGAGATGGAGTAGGCTGCTTTGCTAATACAGATGTCACTAATTTGTCACGGATGTTTTTAGGTCTTCTGAAGGCCATGACTGGTGGTGAGGAAAATACTTTTTTAAGATTTGAATCATTTTCTATAATTTTCCAATGCTTCTGAACAATGGAAGACACATTTTTAAAATCAGGATGGTAAGTGAGTACAAGGGGTGTTCTGTTAGCTGCTTTATTCTTATCTTTGTACTCTAGAAGTTCTTGGCGACTAGTTTTGTTTGCTCTTTCGAAAGCGCTATCAATGATGTTGTTATTGTATCCTCGAACAACTAGATGTTTACGTAGTTGTCCAAGTCTAGCATTTTGCGTATTTTCAGTAGAGCATATTCTCTTGATTCGCAATGCCTGGCTGAATGGGATGCCACGGGAGCAGTGTTTAGGATGGCAACTTTTAGGAGAAAGGAATTGATGTTTGTCCGTTTGTTTGGTATGAAGGTCCGTTATAATGGTTCCGTTCTTGATGTAACTCGTAGTGTCGAGGAAGTTTATTTTCTCCAGAGATGATTCATATGTAAATTTTATTGAATGGTGGAAAGAGTTACAGTGTCCTAGAAATTCATTAAGATGTTCTTGTGAATCTGTCCATTTGAAATCAATATCGTCAATGAATCGGAACCATGATAAGGGCCGGTATGGAGCACTAGCCAAGAGGCGTTTTTCAAGTTGGCCCATAAATATGTTGGCATATGACGGGGCCATTTTTGTGCCCATACTAGTACCGTCTATCTGGAGATAATGTTTTTCATTGAAAGAGAAGTTGTTGTTCTCTAGCACTAGTTTCAGAAGTGTAACAAGGCACTCAGTTGGAGGATTTTTTTCACTACGAGTGTTCCATACCTCTTCACACGCTGCTATTCCTTCGTCTTGTGGAATGTTGGTATATAAAGAAGACACGTCCATGGATGCAAGTATAGTATTGCTAGGTAGAGGATTGAGACTTTCCATTTTCTTTAGATAATCAGTCGTATCTTGGATGTAAGAGGGTAGTTCTTTCACATGAGGTCTAAGATGATGGTCTAAAAATTCTGATATCTTTTCAGTTGGATGACTATTTGCTGAAACAATTGGTCGACCTGGATTGCCCGTTTTATGTATTTTAGGCAACATATAGAATCTTCCGGCCTTTGCTTCGTTCTCAAGAGGTCGGAGATAATCAAAGGTGTCATTGTCTATATGCTTTTTGTCGAACATCTCTTGAAGGATGGTGTTGATCCTTCGAATATTATTTAGTGTTGGATCTGTGGTTAATTGTTTATAAAAAATGGAGTTTGAAAGTTGGCGATTTCCCTCTGCTATGTAATCTGTTTTATTCATGACAACCACAGCGCCCCCTTTGTCGGCAGGTTTTATTACGATATCCTCTTGATCTTTTAACGCTTTCAAAGCAATGCTTTCTGACTTGGATAAATTATAATTTCTTCTATTTGTTATACAGGACTTTATATCAGACCTCACGTAGTTAATGAATGACTCCAAGTTATCATTTTTACTCTTAGGTGGTTTCCATGAACTTTTTTTCTTAAATTTTGGGATGGGCGTGACTTCTTCATTGGTGTCAGTATCTGAATCTGTTAATCCAGCTTCTTCAAGGTTTTTCTTGCCCCTATTGTAGAAAAAATCTTTCAAGCGTAAACGTCTAGCGAATTGGTCTAAGTCCTCGTCTAGCTGAAAGTTATTTACATTTGATGGGATAGGACAGAAGTTTAAACCTTTACTTAAAAGAGATTCTTCAGCACGTGTAAGTTCTTTAGATGACAAATTTACAACAATGCTTTCAGTTTTTTGTTTCCGTCTTTTGAATTTTCTTTTTCTAGGGACCTTATGGTTTGTTGTATTGATATCATTCATATCCTGATTTAAATAGACAGTGTGAATTTTATCTCTTTGAAATTTATTCCTTT